GATTTAACTTGTGTTTTGTTGTTTCTAACATGTGGTGAAGATTTGTTTATCCCATGTTACTAATTTAATAATGCAAAAAAATCTTAAAGTTGTTGTATTATGAATTTAGATTCTGTTTCATGTGTTTGTTGTGATTATAATGTTATTATTGTTGATCAGTTTGTTATGAATATGTGAAAATATGAGTATTGTTGATCTGTTTACTGTAAATATGTAGATGATCTATAAATGTTGTTTATATAGATATGTAAAAATAGGATTATTGTTGATTCGTTTATTGTAAATACATAGATAACCTGTAAACATTGTTTATATGAACATATTTTTTTGATCTTGTTTTTCTTGAGAGAATATATATGTACATATTTATATAATATTACGTTTGTTGAAATTTTGTTTGTTGTGATATATATACTTCTTTACTATATAATCAATGAAACTTGGATATCCCTCTAAATTTTATGGGTATTTGAATTTAAACTGATTTATCAGTCTAAATTATTTCTTGTAAAGTTCCTCTTGATATCTAGAAAGGTGTTAACTTGTACTGACCTGACTAAGAGATTTGTGAGATTAATATTAGGCTTCCAAAAGCTTATTGTAATTCAGTTTTTATCTTTATTTGTTCTTTCTAAAAAAGAAAAATTTTGTATAGAAAGGTTAGAAGTCTTTAGATACTTATCTATTTCTATATTATGACTAGTTGTTTCTGTAGTTTTTCTATAGTATTTCTTGTAAGTGAATGGTCTTTAATATTGATTTTCTCTTGTTTTTTGGGTTGGCTTCTCTTTTTTCAAAAAATTATCAAAAAAGGAAATTTTCTGAAAAAATAGGGATCAGCGAAAAGAGTTTTTTTTTTTAAAAAGATATTTAAAAAAAAATTAAAATATAATTAATTTTTACATAAAATTAATTGAAAAAAACTTACTAATAGAAATCAAAAAATTAAAATATAAAGAAAAGAAAAATTTCAATTATTTTATAAAAGAAATATAAAATAAAAGATTTAAACAAAAAATAATATATAAAAAAGGATTAAGAAATTTTTTATAAAGACAAAACAAAATGATCTTTAAAGTTTTATTTAGCAAAAAGAATTTGAGATATAAGAAATAAAGGAAAAATGATAAAAAAAAAAATATTTAAATGAAGATTACATTAAAATAATAATAACAAGAATTAGAAATAATATGAAAAGATTAGGTTTTAAGCTTGATTAGAATTTAGATTAATAATTTATAATGATGAATTATAGATAATAATGTTTATAATAATGGAATATTAATCTAAACTATAAATAGAATAACAAAATAACAAATTTCTTTTAAAATTATATTTAAAGTTTAGTAATAAATAAAAATAAGTAATTTGGTTGATAATTTAACTTTAATTATATTGTAACTAGTATAATTTACAATATATTATATTTAATAAAATAAATATAATTAATTTGATAGAATTAACAAAAAAAATATTATATATAGTAGCTTTCAAAAGTTTGAGTCCACTTACTATGTTTTTATTATAAATTTCAATTTTAACAATTTTTAAATCATTAATTATACAATCCAAAATTATGAAATTTACATATATTATATATTAATACTTATTCTATTTCTTATATTTTTCAAAAAAATTTTTATTAATATATTCTAAAGTTTTATTATTATTGAATATTTTCATTTTTTTATTAATTATTATATAATTTAGGATAATAACCAATCAAAATTCTTCAAAAGTAAAAATTGATAAAGGAAGAAATTTTTTAACAATAACAAAACTTTTAAAATTATATATATAAATTTTTTTAAAAAATATAAATAAATAAAATTAATATTATGATATAATTTTTGTTTATATAATTAAGGATTTAAAAATTGTCAAAGTTGAAATTTATAATAAAAACATAGTAAATAGACTCAAACTTTTGAAAACAACTATATATGGTTAAACTTTTTTAATCAAATCTAGTTAACTTGTTGTAGATAATAAAAAGTTTTTAATTTTGATCTTGAGAATAATATTTTATTTTATAATAAATTTTGAATAAAGATTTTCTTAGTTTATATATTATTGTTAATAAATTATTATTGTTTTAATAAATTTTCAAATAATTTTATTCTTTATATTCTTAAATATATTTTTCTAAATTCAAACTACATATATAATATGTTTGTTAATCCTATCTTTTTTATTTTTATCAATAAAATCAATTAAATTTATTAAATTTAAAAAAATAATAATAAATAGTAATAATAATAATAAATATTATATATAACTATTTTTTTTAATATATAATGATTGTTAATTGTAATTGATTATTTCATTTATTGATTTTTTATTTTTTTATTTTTTTAAAAAAAAAAAAATTTAATAGCAAAATTTGATTAAAATAATACTCTTATTAATACAAATGATTTAATTATATCATAGAATGAATAATATTTGAGGATTTGTATTATATGTACCATTTGATTTGGTAAGTATTCGCGTGGTATCAAACCTTCTAACCAATAGTGGAATTTGTTTTTCAGACTATTGGTGGACAGCGTCACAAAGGTGTGACTCGGTAAGTAGGGAAGATTCGAGATAAGATATGTGCGAAGATTGAGTATACTGCGGATATTTTAATACGCAAGTATGTGCGTGTGTACATGCAGATGTCATACGTACATAATCGACGATGACAGATTATTGGAGCGATAAACATCAAATTAAAACATCGTGAAAATTTTACACAAATGAATGATGATCACAGCATTGTACGCAGTATGCGCATATATATTATAGTGCGCAAGTATGTTACTTGCGTGCGTACCTTACATGCACAAAGATAATAGAGGAAACCTTGAATTGTTGTTAAAAAAAATAAAAAAAAAAAAGACCAGAGGGATCTCCGTGGCAGCATAAAATAATATTGTAAACGTGCAGCACAATTGAGTAACACGTTACCTAATAGGGGAGGATCAATTATGCGCACGTATTTTAGATTGAAGTTTGGGGAAAGCTGTTGTATGATATGGAGATTCCCTCGTGAGTGTGTTCGAGCAGAATTAGTTGACAAAGCGGTCGATGATTGATTGCTCCTTTGCATATAATGACAACCATGAATATCATCACACCTCCAAAAGAAGTTATGTAATCAACACCGAGGATCGAAAATCTTTTGATTTTCATCTTGAATAACTAATCAATCAATAAACTAATTATATTACATCAATCGGAATTATAATATTCTCTTAAAAGGGGCGATACATCAGGTGAAAAAGGTATTTATTTCCAGATATGCTAATTTGGAAGTTTTTTTTTTATATTAATTATGGGATGTTAGAATTCAGGTAGTTGCCGTGTGGCTTCTCCACATAAGGAAATGATGATCGTCGCGATTTTAAAATCTGTAGTATATACAGTAAGTACAGTATGTACGTAATCAAACGATGGGCAAGTGTAGTTTCCCAACATGCGGAGAGAGAAACATCGTTATTTCATCTGGCGGTAGTAGAATACAGTACATTATATACAGTGTGTGAAAAAAAAAAAAAAAAAAAAAAAAAAAATTTTGCATCATGAACAAACACGTTCGTCTGATCCACATACATATACCATGCGAAATCTTTACACCTGCAATCCACAGGATATTAGCTACCATTATTAGGATTTTTTTATTGGTGATTATTCCTACAATTTTATTCTTTTCAACTTTCGGAATTTAATGTTGAAAATCACAATATTGGGTACAGCTGCTCACAAGCTATCTCCTTCATCAATCGAGTTACATGTCAATCACGCTTAGTTCAAAAATTTTTTTATTGCCATATTATTTTTTATCGTATGTACTGTATATTGAAAAATTAGATAAATAGAGTAACCTCGTAACTTGTTATCCAAAATGTTGTAGTGAACACTCAACTTTTCAATCTTTCTCTACCCGTTTTTTTTTTTATAAGTGTTATAGATACTTATATATATAAATTTTTAAAAAAAAAAAATTTTTTTTTTCTTTTTTTTTTTATCGTTTTAAATATTATTTTTTTTCTCTTCTTTTTCGTTTCTTATATACATATCTTTTTTCTTTTTTCGCTAAACCGCGTCTATCTCGATTATTCTCCTTTACTTTGTTAGATAGAAAGGATAAAACAAAATATCGCTATTTTCTTTATCGTCTTGGCGTATATACTGTTATATATTAAGTAATAGAGACATATATTATATGTATATATTCCAAAGTAGCAATATACATTTATAAATACAAAGTACCTCTTTATAAATTATATATTATACACACGATCACGCAATTCTCAATAGAACCCACGAAATTATTCTTGATGAAAAGTTTCGATATTAGTTTTATACTCCATCTTTCGTAAGCATTTCTGATTGATAAACCGATTCTTTATTATATTCTTTTGTTAATCCTTCTGTTAATCCTTCTGTTAATCCTTCATCCCTTCTCCCTCTCATTTTCTTCCTCTCCATCATAACGCCCGATAATCGATCGGCGAATCCACTTTCCTGCCTCTTTTTACCTTTCCAACGCATAGAGGCGTTTGTCCAATCAATTTCAGGCCGAGATATATATTCACACATATACTTCATAAATAGAATTTCTTTTCTTTTCTTTTTATTATATCGGCGAACGTTTTTACAAAGAAACAAAGGACAGATCGTTTGTCACTCTTCTACAAAGTAATAATAATACTTAATAAAAAAAAAAAAAAAATCTTTTTTTTTTTTCTACGTCCGGAATCGATCGAACAATAAATTTCTCGAAAGTATAAAATAATAATGCACGCAACAAAACCGTGTCTCCTTCCTTCCCTTCCTTCAATCAAATCTTTGCTGGTGGAAATGTCTCATGGTAAGTTTCAATTTCAATATTGGTCGCACACATCATCATGCGTTTGTCTAGACGAGTCCAAATAGGCAAAACAAGGTAGCCAGAAGTAGGGGCTACCGTGGGGTGGTCGTACACAACGAATTGCCTTTAATGTGTTAAACTGATGATTTCGATTTCGATTGTCATCCTCTTAGATCAAAGAACGCATTTCCCCCCAAGTCCCTATTTCAACACCAATGCATCATCATCCACTCACCCCAAAATCCACCCTCTCGATTTACCGCCTTCCCCCAAGGACCAATTTCCAAAACATCAGGTGGTCGATAAAGAATTCGCAAACATGCATCCACGTCTGCCTTCACTTGCTTCAGCGATTGGATCAACTGTTATGCATTCTGGCGGTATCAATATTCGCTCCTTGCTCTCTCCACCCGAATCTCCCGACAAGGAAACCTCCTTTGAAGAACAATCTCACGCTTGTTCTCGTCGGCATCATAATCATAATCACCATGACAACTGTGTCCGAGCACCCTCGACCATCCATCGATCACCCCCGACCATCCATCGATCACCCCCGACCATCCATCGATCACCCCCAACACCATCCACGATGTATCAAAACTTACCATATCCCACCTATTCCCAACAACAAGAACACGGATATTCACGGAATCGAGATTGTGATGATTACTCGACTTCCCATAGCGTCCTTCAATCTACGCTCACACCACCCGAGCACAGATCAACATCCTCTGTAACCACTGCGCCTGCCACATCCACACCACACCAAGAAATTCCGGTATCACTTGTCGGTGGCGGATCGGACAGAGCGAGAGCAACCTCGCCGAATGATAACATGTCCACCTCGTCATCAAGTAACAGTGGCAGCAGCGACAACAGTAGTATTAATAGTAATAATAGTAATAGTAATAATGGCAATAACAATAACGGTAGTAATAATAATCGATACCAGTGTCCTTACTGTGCGAAACGATTTTCCCGCCCAAGTTCGCTTCGGATTCACACTTATTCTCATACAGGTGAAAAGCCCTTTGTGTGCACCGAACCTGGTTGCGGAAGGAAATTCTCGGTGCAGAGTAACATGAGAAGGCATCTGAGAGTACATCGCTTGGGTAGGCCAGTGAAGAAAGTCCGTTATGATGGTGAAGTGGAAGGGGTTAAAATGATGAATCCAGGAATTCATATGCGAAATTAAAGATGAGTTGATGATCTATGATTGGCGGTCAAATATTTAATAATCACATCATTACTTCTCTCTACATCCTTTTCGTGGTTACTACGCACAATTACACACTACATGTGGGTTTACACTTATTTAGAATTAATCCGAGATCTTATTTTCGTATATTTTTTTCCGTTTGGACATTTTTCTCTGATGGGAACCTGTTCTTTTTTTTTTTTTTTTTTTTTCAAAAAAAACCAAAATTCCTTCTCTTCTTATAACAAAAAAAGAAAAAACGTGACGGTTGATTAGGTCACGCGTCTTCATTATTTTTTCTTTTCTTTGCTAGATGTGTTTTCTTTTTCTTTTTTTTTTTCAATTCAAAATTTTTTTTTTTTTCGACTTTATGAAGCAAAGAATGAACGAAAGAATTCTTTTGTTGCTGCTGATAACTCCCGAAACATGTTTAAAATGCTCGATTTTGATATCAATTCCTCAACTACAAGTATTCGAGAGAGTTTTAGTCTCTTTGAACTCTGGATGTTAACCGGTAGATTGGGAAGCGATACTCGCCAGCCGAAAACGAAAATTTATGTATGTCCCTTGTCTTCTTAATCATTGTTTTTTTTTTTTTTGCTTGCCGAAAATCACCGATAATATTTCTCTCATTTCAGACGATGGTCTCTACACAAGTAGAGAATAGGGATTCCCTGATTTTTTTTTTGTTTTTCACATTTTCACAACTTCATGAACTATGCATATTTTTTTTTTTTTCTCACACACACACCACGCATTTCTATATTCATAATAATCGCAACCAACAATAATGTTTATGTTTCACATAGGTTTCTTCATTCTTTTTCTGTCCTTTTATTAATGGTTTTCTTTTCTTTCATTCCGCCTTTCTCCTAAAAAAAAAAAAAAAAAAATCACCTCAGTCTAAGTAAGTTTTTTTTCCTTTTCTTACATATAGGAAATTTATGCACATGTAAAATAAGATTTCTATTTTTTTTTTTTTTTTTCCTTCTTTCATTCCTAATCTTTTAATGGGTGCGCCACTTTTTAATTCGGCGTCAGGTTACTGTGAATCCATTTCTCATTCACCCTTTCCTCCTCAGGAGAAAGGATCTTGTCACAAATTGATGAAATAAATCAGTAGCCAATATTCAAAAAAGGTGCACCACTTTTTTTTTTAAAAAAAAACACTTCACTCAATAAGCCATAGTTATTAATTAATTAATTAATAATTCATTTCGCATTTTACCGCATTCACGTTTATCACATTTTTCTAGTTGGCATTATCTGAATTTTTTTTTTCTTTTTCGTACATGCTTCATTGAATTTCGATTCCTCTTTCTCCCCTTTCTACATTAGATCACATCTGTATTTGGATTTTGAGTAATAACAACACAACATCACACCTTCTTGTTCATCAGATTTTCAATTATATTTATTACGCGTATTTCCAATTCCAGTAATTTTGTGGTTTCATGTTCACACCAAATCAATCTAATCCTATCACTCTTTTGGCCAAATCTCGCATTAAATAATGTATGTGGGTCCGGTATGGCGCTTGCAGAGATGTCAGATGTCAATGTGAATTGACAGATTTTTTATTGCTCGGTCGATGGACAACGAAAGATCACATCTTGGAGGTCATAAACGATTTAAAAAGAATTTGTGCCACGCGCGTTTTTCAATGATTTTATTAATTTAAAAATCGAAATATTTTAAATTAGTTATCATTTCCTAAATAATCACTTTGTACTCCGACCCCTTGTTTCACTGCTTGCACGAGTAAGTCATGTGCGCGTGTGACCAATGATTTCCGGTTGGACGATTTATCCGTTATCTCATAACAACTTTTACCCAATCCAACTTTCATCAATGAGCCTTTCGCGCTGCAGAAATTGTGAGGTACTTAAAAAGCAAGTGGAAATAAAAGATGAAATCATAAGGTCCAAAGAAGAAAAAATTTCACGCCTGCAGGAATCGTTAATCAAAATTCAACAGGAATTGATCAAGGTGTTGAAGGTGAAGAATGGTGAGAAGAAAAAAATTTTAAAAAAAAAATTAAAAAAAAAAAAATTTCTCTTCATCCGCACGGGATTATGTTCCGGTTTTCGCACCGCGATTTTACCTCTCATCAACTTATACCAATCTTTTCGGTAGGAAATAGTGGCGACCAAATGGGCTCACCATCATCCCAAATTCCTGCTTCAATCATTCCAATAAGCATCGATGATACTACCACTTCGCGATCCTTAATTGATATAGAAAATAGTGAAAGTGAATCGGAATGGTATCAACCAAGTTTGAGGAGAGGTGATTATCTAATTCGACCTATGCGTTTGCACAATAATTTACTTTTCTCTTTAACGGGAATTTTGACTTGACAATTTTAGAATTCCGGGTGTATATTGGGCACGTGACTGACATCACAAAGCAAAGACTGAAGAGGGAGCTGGAAGAAAATTTCGGGCAAGTGGTCGAAGTCGAAAAGATAATAAATAAGGTGAAACCGACGACCATATTATCCTACCCTTTTTTTTCTTATCCACCAATCATATTAATTCAAAAAAAATCCGTCGCATCTCCCACCTTATAGAATTGTGCGTTCGCAACATTCGCAACGCGAGAATCATACAACATGGCCATCAATCGAGGTATCATATATGTGGATGGTCATGATTGTTGCATTGAACAACCAAGACCTAGAAATAATGAGGATTTTGAAAATAAAGGGAGGAGGAGACGTAAAGGATGATTTCAATAATAAATTAAATAATAAATGCATGAAGTCTATCCGACAAATCAAATGATGTTAAATGCATCATCGCCTTTAGATATGAAAAAAAATTTTTATCACGATCGAAAATAAAAAATATCTCTCCCTTAAACACATTCAATTCCATCCAAACTTAAAAACTTACGAATTATAATTTAGCTTGCCATCCTTTAACATCCAGATACCTAATTCCCTCTGCGTACATTTCTCTTTTTAACATTCCGTAAATTGCTCCAGCTTTGGCTTTCCCCGACCATTTTAATCCTAGCTCCTTAGCTTTGACCAGAACCTCTTTCTCGCCCTCAACAATCTCATCCACCAACTGTTGATCCAATGCTTCCTGAGCGTTAAATCTATGACCTTGTAACACACAATCTCTATAGGTTTTAGGTAACATCTTTATCCTTACTATGGCCGCCATTCCTGGATGCAGAGGCGACGGCAGGTCTACCTCATTCTGAGTGATTTTTAGTTTATCGTATTAGCCGACGGAAAGAAATGTGAAGTGTGAATATAAGATTGGATAACTAACCATGCAAATATATCCCCTGTCGCTCCGCATAACCCGATAATCTGTCATTAATTTGGCATACTTCAATCAGTACATTCACAGCGTCGAGAAATTAGCGAAACGTCCTTACCATGCGCCAACGCGAACATACATCCGCCAGCGAAGGCATGCCCATTCAACGCTGCCACCGTAGGAATCGGAAACGTCAACATTCTAGTTAAAAGTTTCAAGTAGTATTCATCAAAGAATCCTGGCGTGCTCAACGCGTGCTCCAAGTCCAGCCCATTGCTAAAAAATTTTCCCTCACCCATCGTTACCAAAGCTGCCGGTTCACCGTCTTCTTCTTCGCGGATTCGCTCGATATCATCTAGTGCGGAGAATAGAGCGTTAATGAAGTTGGTGTTGAACCGATTTTCACCATTTTTCATAGTTAACACGAATAAGGGCCTTTCGCGAACGAGGGTTACGAGGGCCTTTGCCTGGGTTGGATAAAATGATATCATTCTACAATGTCGCAAATTTTAAACTATATGATAATCTTTTAAGTAAAAATTATTTTAAAAATTTTAATATTCACTTGATTTTTATATTTAACCAGAATGATATACCAGTATTACCTAAAGTTAGTAATAAACCTAACTTTTAATTTGACTAATGAATATATATTTGCATGCATACTTTTTTTTTTTTTATTATTTTTTATTTTTTATTTTTTTTAACCCCAATCATGTTGAAATGGTTTGTCTTTATTAAGATACTTGAGAAAATATCAAAATAATTCATAGGTAATAAAAAAAAACCTCTTTTCATTGATCCCCCTTTTTCTTAAAAATTTTCTTTTTTGGTAATTTTTTTGGAAAAGAGAAGTCAGCTTAAAACCCTTCATCCCTCAAAGACTTGAGACTTAACAACAAACTATAACATCCAGCCATTTCTTCAAATGATTACTCTACTTATTAAGAGAAATATAGATAATATAATATCACTATAGCTTCACTTTACTTTATTTTACAAGGAAAGGAATTCACATCTACAAACTGATTTACAGTAAGCTTAGGAGAGCCTAATATCAACTTCCCAAGCTTCTAGTCAGGTCAATGTCAGTTTATATCTTTCTAGATACTAGAAGAAACTTTATTAACAATAGTTCTTATCGATAAATCAAGAAAAACTTAAAGTTCATAAAGCCTAAAAGGACATCAAAGGTTCTCAAGGATTAAACAATAGAGTATTCTGATCCCATATACACCTGCCTAAACAACAAAGCAAGTTATGCGAACATTTATGTATTAAATAAGTTAATATCAAAACAATACAGCAAGGTTCACCAAGTATCTACAAACAAACAATCTATCTTTTTCAACAAAGAAGATCAACAACTATTTTGGTAAACAAATAGATCAAAACAAAAAGGATTAACAATTCATCCGAGTAAACAACATTCCAAACAAAATAACAAACAAGCAATCTCACAAACCTTGCTCAATATAAACAAACAAAAAAAAAAAAAACTAAACAATACATCAACAATTTATCCTCCTTTACACATGACCAATATGACAAAGGAACAGACAATTACAGTATGCAAATTGCAAAGAAGAAAGAGCTCCATATTCTTGATACAATGGTCAAAATAGCTGAAAAGCATGACCAGAGGAAAGAAATATAGGCTACACAAATTATTTTCAACACTCTCACTATATAAGACAAGGCCAATCAGATTCCAGGATCAGTAGAATACTTGATACTTGATAGTATTTTTGCAAAGATTCTAAATATAGATTCAACTACATTTATTAAAGCTGAAGTCCTTAAACAGCATATCCTATATCTATAGAAACAAGGCCATAGAAAAGAAGAAAACTTTATGGCACCCTTCCTAGAAAAAAGATCAGATATATCTTGGAACAAGACACTACTACAAATAGTTTATTTTCACATATCCCTTAAACTTTCCAAACCAAGGGTGAATTCACAAACTCTATAATAGGAAATTCAACTTTAGATAAGAATATCTTCTCGAATGAGGATATGAAAGTTCAACCAATCATCGAGATTGAAATTTCAAAGAATACTGAAATCAAAATAGATAACAAAGAATTGAAAGAAAAGCTTGAAGAAAAACTTGAAATGGAAAATATTCAGGAAAGAGTTGAAAGAGAAAATATAATAAAACAAATCTTCTACAATACATAGAATAGACCTAAGCCATCCAGCCTAAATCCATTTCATATCACTAAAAGAGGAGAATTCAAGGTGGGAATTCTTACTTTTAGAATACCGAGAGAAATAGAAAAAAAACATATAACCTATCTCCAAAGTATTCTAAATCTGCCTAAAGACATGCTACCATTCAAAAAAGACTTTTTCAATGGTAATGCCTGGACAACCTTTACTTTTGAGAAAGTCAAAAATGTATTATAATGTATAGAGAAGATTAATAAGAAAGAAGGAGAAAACTTCACCTTGATTCCTATACAAGTTGAAAAATGGGAAACTTCATATTCACCACCAGAAAAGAAGTTCTTCAAACAAGAGGTAGCAAAAGAAGAAAACAAAATAGTGGTTGTTACACTAATTGATCCTGACCACAATTATACTTGTCAAGAAATTAAGGCCACCTTACAGAAAATATGGAAAAGTCTCAAGTATCCATATTTACAACCACTCTCATTCTCAAAGAAGAATCAAGGCATGACTCATTGCAAATCAACAAGACTTAGAGGATAGATAGTTCATACATATTAAAACAGATACCTTTAAAGCAATTTTCACTCAATATGAACCAGATGATCATAAAGTTGATGCTATTCTCAAAAAGTGTAATAGCCAGTTTCTATGATTGTATGGAGTACACAATACCTTCACAAGTCTCATAGCAAGAGCAATACAACATGCAAGGGTCAAAGCATGTTATATACCAAGAAATCTATTTACTCTAAAAAGAAGAGGATATGTAGTAGTTTGTTTTACAATAGCAGAAGATCTGCATAAGGCTTTGAGACAACATATATTCATACATGATCACAAACTCAGCTGGAATGCTAGAAAACACTTTGGAAAAGGAACAATACAAGACAATAAAGGGGCTCAAACTGAAAATAGTAATGATAATGAAAAACAAGCCCATTCTAAAACAACACAAGCCAAACTGCACTTAAGATAATTAAGTCAAATTGACATCAGAAGCAATATCAAGGCAAGCTGATATACATCATCTGAGGAAGATTCAGAAACAGAAAGTGACTCTAAGAAAAGGACAAACCTAGAAAGAAGGTAAAAAAGAAAAAGACGCAATCCTCGAGATAACAAATACATTACTGGAACAACAGATACTCTCAAGCACTTTGCTACTGGCAGTAAAAGGGAGCCAATAAATTAGCATAATAGAAGAAGAAGTCCATACAATAGATCCAAAAGTCCTTACCCTGAAAGTGAAAGTGATCAAGACCCCTTTTACCAAATCTTGAATAATCTCAAACGATTAAATAATAGAATAAATCTTATCGATAAGAAAACTAATATCAAAACAGGGTAAGAGGGAAGTGATGAAACAATCGCTCCTGAGATTAGTATCAGTTCAATCAAAGTATATCAGGAGAGAGTTTGATTCACAAGAGGAAACAAGCTCATCCTGAAAAAAAGATGCAATCCTAAAAGAAACTATAGATATCAATATCACCTTTCCCAAAATAATACATAACACATTACTAGATGATTTCATCAGTGCAATAAAAAAAAACACTAGTAATAGAATTGAAAAGAAGTATACATTATACAACAAGTATACTATAGATAACTCTATATTAACAGATACTATTTCAATTGAAACACATAATGTTAGAGGAATTAATACTAGCCTGGATCAACAGAGGATGTACAAACTTATACAAGAACTTAATATAGATATCTTAGGTATCTGCAAAACTAAGCTAACAAATAAAGCAGCAGAATTTGCTTTCACTTCACAACAAACACATAAGTTTTTTCACAGTAGCAATAATGAGAAACCCAGAGGA